TCATCCAGTTTAATTATGTAATGTAGTACGATAATTAATTCTTTTAAAATTACCTTTTAATGTGTGTATATACTTTGTCTTTACAGTGTGTTATATGTATATATTTTGTATTATTCTTTCATGTTTCCATATTTCCACACTCCTCCACACTCACACAATCATTTTCCCCAAGAAGAAGAAAAAAAACACACTTTCCAGAAATTGTTTGTAAAATATATTTTGGTCCAAAAGCTGATTTGCAAAAATACAACATGTGCAATCATTGAGGAGGCGAGGCGCCACACAGACAGAGTGCTGCCTCGCCAGTGTTCAGGAATGCTGCATCATCTCACTGCGTTAAGGCTAAGCTACTGAAATGTAGTGTTACTGTCGGAGAGATCGACCCGCTCGTCGCTAAATCTAACAACACACACACACACACACGCTAGAGCTCCTACTGCTAAATGTTCCTACATCTTAACTTACCACAACGATTCACGTATTTGCCGTTTGAACACACAAAACACTACGAAAGGAGTGGTGACGGGTGGGCTCGTTGTCAGGACCGGTTCTGGTGTCAGATCACTTCATGAATGGATGACGTTCTCCTTCAGGCTGAGCCACTCCGTGTGCTTCCTGTTGGTGGATTCACTGCCACTTGGCTGTTCTGCACTTTTTGTTTTTTTGGTGAAAACAGTTTTTGATCCGTTGAAACAAAAGTCGAATTAATTCTGTGCAAAGTGCAAATCCTGCTCCGATAAAGCTTCGATCCAACACGTTTGGCACCAAACATTCAAACGGCTCCTATCGACTTTAAATATTATCTTCCAAGCGAACCATCTAGACTACGGCTACAGTTTAATACCAATCTTCATTAAATAGAGTTAAAGGAACAGTTTGGGGGGAGAAAGAAAAATGCTTGTTTCTTGCAGAGAGTTTGATGAGTCTGTTCTCACGTCTGAACAGTAAATAGAGTCGAGCTCTGGCCACAAGACAATAAATCCACTTTCCAGCATCTTAAAAGCTCACAAATAAACGTATCTGGTTGATTTTTAGCTAAATGTTGTCTCTTCATTGTCCAGCCCTGATATTCCACATCACAGATAAATAAAGTTAATAAAATGTTGACACTTTTATATTTTTTCACCCTGCAGCTCCCAACTAAAGCATAATCCACTCAAAATTCTTGAAAATGTGATAAAATTTGAACAAAATATTCAATAAAAACCCAATAATCTAACAAACTGTCCTCACCGCTGTGGTCACAATGTGTTTCTGGTCATGTCAGAGCTTTGAGAAGAGTCAGATAATTTAATAATTACAAAGAAATGTGCTTTTATTCTTGCTAATGAGGCAGAGTTTAGGGAACAACTACGTGGATTCTGCTGCGTTTTGGATTCTCACATGGTGGAGGTTCAGCGTCCAATCAGTGAGGATGTTTCTGTGTTTTTAACAGAACTACAGTCGTGACTCGATAATCCGACACTAAATGTAAAACCTTCTTCTATGTCGGATTGTCAAGACGGAGGTCGAGATACAAGGAGGGCTTGATGCTGGAAGGCTCATTAGTTGTTAATATTTATTGTTCATAGTTGTTATAATAACTAGTAGGGCTGGTCCCAATAGAACTTTCTGCTCTCTGGATATTCAGGCCCAATTAGTGATGAATATCAGAATATTCAGCATGGTCGGGGGACACTTCCACCCCGGGGCAGCGCTCTGACGGGGTGGAAGTGTCCAGAACACACAGGCAGTACTTGGCTGCTGATGCTAGTTTAGTTAGCGCTCACACTTCTGTTTCCTCCATCGGTGGCGGCGGGGGAGTGGCAGATACGCTCCACCGTTACCATCCATGTTTACTTCCATAAACACTGAGCACGCTCGCTGCGTTTTTCCTAAAAAGCTGTCGGATAGCAAGGTTTAGGATTGTTAAGGGTCGGATTATTGAGTCACGACTGTAGTTTATTCAAAATCCAATTAAAACACAGTTTGGACTGAACATAAACACAATACTAGAATATCTGTAACCTGAAAAATGTTCTTACAATAATATCAGTCCAGAAATTTTATTACATTAACAGTGAAGTTAGAACATAAACGGGTTTTCATACATTGCTGATCACCTAAAAGCAAATTTGTCAGTAAATCATTACAGTACTGGCACTACTGGAGGTTCCTGAATTTCAAAGTAAAAGCACTTAATCTTCTCAGCATGTTTTTGGGATACAAAAGAATTGGATTCATTCGTATTTGTAGCTACGAAACACTTGAACAGACCACAGAGCTTCAGCTACTATCTTACATAGTATTTCTACTCTTTATGTTTGTTATGCCACACTTATTATGATTTATTTTCAATTTATTTTGTAGACACATAGCCTCGGTTGAGCTCTCTTTAATTAATTTGAAAGGTGCTAGCAGGCAGGATCTGTTAGCTAAGACTTCCTGCTAAGCTAAGCTAAGCTAACTGTCTCACATATAAACACTGTACAGACGTGAGCATCTCATCGAACTCTCTGTAAAAAGACAAAAAAAATCTATAAAACAAATCCTTTAGTTGGTGGAGAACAGACGATGATGTAGTTTAACACTTTCAACACTGATCAACAGCAGTTTGCTTCCAGAGTTATTCTGTTAAGAGTGTTTAATATCTATAGAAATACATCTTAAATCTTAAAAATAAATATATGCATCAGAAGTAGTACACGATATTGCTACAACGTAAAGTCTCGCCTCGGATCGCCGGACTTAAATAACGAGCGGCTGTGTGCATTCTAGTTTTGGTTCTTTTGGGTTGGAACGGTCGAGCTTTACGCAAAGATGTTGGAGATGAAGTCGCGGAATCGTTTGGCGTACTGCTCGGGGTGGACCGTGGAGATCTCGGCTCCGGCCTGCGTCAGAGAAGGAAGAGACGGAGACAGAGAGGAGAGGAGACAGTCATGGGTTTGCTCTGTGGCCGACGTCGGAGCGTTTTGAAGCTACTCACCCCGTGTTTGACGGTTTTGGCGGCGTGAGCTGCTTTCTTCTTGGTGTCGTACTGCGTGAGGACGTCGATGAGGCCCATGAAGTAAACCTCCCTCTGAGGAGATCCTGAGGATAAAGACACACAACATCCTGGGTTAGTTTACTGGACCACATGATTAAAAAAACAAAAACCTGGAGAAAGACTTGATGGAAACACTGAGGAGAAACTGTTTTACACTTAACTGGAGAAATCGCTGTACAGTCGTGACTCGATAATCAGACACTAAATGTAAAACCTTCTTTTATGTCGGATAGCAAGGCTGTCGGATTGTCAAGATGGAAGTCGAGATACAAGGAGGGGTTGATGCTGGAAGGCTCATTAGTTGTTAATATTTATTGTTCATAGTTGTTATAATAACTAGTGTATTGCCAGAACACTACACATCGTTGGATTTCAGCCTAACTGACCGGTGTGATTGTGCACGGGCCCGTTGACATTAAAAGTAAATACGTTCAGACAGCAGCTGAAGTGACCCAAATCTGATTTTTGTTCTCCGATGCGACCTGTATCTGATCTTTCCATGACAGTCTGAACAACACAGATCTAATTAATGATGAATATCAGAATATTCAGCATGGTCGGGGGACACTTCCACCCCGGGGCAGCGCTCTGACGGGGTGGAAGTGTCCAGAACACACAGGCAGTA